AGAAACATTAAGGAATTTTTAATAGAATAATCTGAAATATTCTTTAAAAAAATTTAAAATATAGACAAATTAACAGCATAAAAATATAATTTCTTTTTCAATCCACACAGTTATATCTGCAAAATTGAATGCTTTCTTATATTTTAAAAATAAGCACCAATTTTTGCAGTTATAACTGTGTAAATCGAAAAGGAAATTATTTCTCTCTCTCTTTTTAATTTTAATATTTTTTCATATTTTTTAAATATTTGTTTATTGTTTCCTTTTAAAATATTTTGTTTTCTCTTTTTTATTTTCCACGTCTTTTTCTTTCTTAGTGCGGTTATCATAAATTAAGAGTTCTATGTACTTATGCACAGTTAATAAAACCAAATTACAGCTTTTATTTTCTCTTTTCTTTATAATAGTCTTAATAATTTATTATTAAGTATATATGTACAGGGCACTATAGCTTTGCAGCAGAATCCTTATCTCATACATTTTTCAGATATCACAACAATAAAAAAAACACAAAAACTATGGAGCAAAAACAATTTAAATTATTAATTACCAACTCCCAGTTATTATAACATTATTAATTTATTTGTGTAATGATCAAGCACATATTCTACACTTTTAATTAGGCATTGGGATTGATAACTAGCAAAACATAAAAGTAACAAAATCACTATATTCATTTAAAAAAATGTTTAAAAACTCCTATTAATGCCATAGATGATTGAATTCATTTTAAAAACTAAATATGTCATTACAAGCTGCATACAGGACATAAAGTTAACATAAAAAATAATTGAATGAAATAATGAAAAAATAATTGAATGAAATAATGAAAAAATAATTGAATTGAATAGCATGAATTAAAATAATTCAAATAAGAAATCAATTAAAATTGTTCGAATACTAAATGAATAAAAAAAAATAGATAACAAAAATTAACCACATTTTCAAAAAGTAAACATTTAAATATAAAACTTTTTAAATACCTTTATTTAACTTTTGAAAAAAAAATTAAAGGTTTAAAGTGATATACACAAATAATAACATTTAACAAGTCTTGGTAGTTAGTTAAGGATATTTTGGGTTTTCAGGAAGCAAAGCAGATTAGAACAAGATTTACTAACAGTATTTTATTCTTTTTCCAGGAAAAAAACAGCCCTGTATAAATAAAACAGTATCAAAATTTAAATTAAAAAAACTCTATAACCAACAAATAAAAAATTAACAATACAATACTAAGTTTTACTAAGCAACAGTTTTAAGTAGTAGTTTAAAGTTCAAATAGATTTTTATACACGAGAGATAAAAATTGCCTCCCACCCCCCAAAAAAATAGCAGGTGTCTGTCTAGGTTTTTCTGAGAGGTACCTATTTTGTGAAAATGTTGACATAATTTGTGAACAATAAAAAATTATATTAAAAAACCAACACAAAAATATGTATTTATCGTTTCGTAAGGGATAAAAAAAATAAAATTTTTGAAAATGTATTTTGTGAAACTACAGTTTTTCCTAAAGTTGCATTTGTGAAACTACCGTTTTCCTAAAATTGAATTTGTGAAGGTACCGCTAAACGGTAGTAAATTCGGCCTGGACAGACCCCTGAATGGATAAAAACAAATAGCCTCTTAATATAGATACATAACAATTCATAAAATTACCACAGTATTAAAAGTAAGCTTTTCACATGTTGGTGATTTATTCAATTCAGGCTACACATAGGACTACCACAGCTTAATATATTTTTGTAAATATGGTACATAGTATTATGGTTTTGTAAATATGGTACATATGGTAAAAAGGCATTTCAGGTGTAAATATATCATAACACTTATTTTTTTCTAAAATATTGATTAATTTACATGCATAAAATGCAGTACAAACATTAAAAAACATGTTGTTATAAAATATCATAGCATGGTTGAAAAGAAATGGTTTAAGTGGTTATTTTTGTCTTTTCTTACATTTTTACAGTAATTAACTTTTATAAAACATTTAAAAATTTCTTTGCTTAAATAATTTAATACCATAAAAGTTCATAATTAATAGTGAATAATTGATAATGAATGTATAATTAATAGTAGTTTAATTCATATTGATATTATCAAGTTACACATAATTAGAATTTTCCCTAGTGTATGTCTCTTTATTCATTATTCATGCCTCACACTCAATTTTAGAAATAAAATTTCCCAAGTTTTCCAGGTTTTCTCCAGAAAATATTAAAAAAACTTTAAGATTATAATTTTTGTTATACACAGCATTATTTCAGTAGAAATATATACATAATATGTTGAATAACACATAATATGCGTAACCTAAGTGAAAGTTTAATGAGTACAGTTCACAATATAGTAATTATTTTATCTGTAAATTATAGATAAAAGCAATGTTTTGCATAAAAATTCGAAAAAATAACAGCTTAATTTTTAAAAACAAATTATAATTAATAAATAAAATAAAATAATTATTAAAATAATTAATTAATTATTAAAATAATTAATTAATTATTAAAATAATTAAATAAAATAATTTTTATTTATCATTATGTTTTTATGACGGATTAAAGTTGCAAGTCAGTAAATAAAAAAATAAAACAAATTTTATAAAAAAACAAGAGTTCAACTAAATGGATAGCTCATTAATTTGGTGAATGGTGCCTATACGCAGCATTTTATTTCTTATATAAAATATAATTTTTCATGAATGAATTTTTTTTGTGTGTGTCCTAATGATTGTAATGTAAGCACATGTAAATGAGAATAATACCACATTTTAAAAAAAATTCTATGCTTGGCCTAAAATGGGTGAAACAAAATATAGAAGTGAAAATTTGAAGGGAAAAAAAACTTTTTTGGGGAACAACTGTTTAAAAACAACTGCAAATTACCATTAGAAAGTCAAATATTGCTAAATCAGTCAGTGGAAAATTTCTAAACTGTTAAAAATACAGCTGTTTGTTAAGTTGAGACAGAACATGTTCCATCAGCTCCAGTTTGCAGAACATACCCACGTCCAGACATAATACTGTGTAAACTGTAAAAACTTTCCATTTCTTTGGCACAGCATTTGTGAGAGAGCTAATTTTGTTCATAAGCTATGTACGTTAAAAACGATACACACACGATACATATATATAAAACTAATTATTCAAAAAATGTTTTTAAGCAAAGTTTTTAAAAAATTATCACCTCTCAAACAATTATTTTAACTTTATACAAGGTTCCCACTCAATTTCAAAAGAAAATAAATTCCACGACTTTTCCAGGCAAATTTCAATGAAAATTGAGATCATATTTTCATCAGAAAACTTTGATTCTTTTATTTGTAATGGCAATTATTAGATTTCCTGTGCAAAAAAAAATTATTTTTAAGACTGGTTATTTTCTAGGTATAATATAAGAATATTCCAGATTTTTGTAAAAAAAATTGCAACTATCCCTGACTATTCCCTGATTTTTGGAGTTAAAATTAAAATTCCCTTACAATTCAAGGTTTTTCCTGTTCTCCTTGACAGGTGGGATCCCTGTTTATGAAATAACACTTGATTTATTTATAGTTAAAAAAATCAACGGATTCACAACCTAAACATATTTCCTTTTTGAAGACGGACTTTCTTTCAAGATTACTTAATTATATCTTAAAATAATGAAAACTGCATTACAGTTAATGAATAAACTATAATTATTCTTGTTCTCAAACTGAAACATTTGAAGGTTCTTTTTGTAATATTATATATTTTTTTAAAAAAATTAGAATTTTCAATAGAAATTGTGAAAAAATAAAAACTTTCATATAACTGGTTTTTTATAGTCAATTACATGCGAGTTTTTATAGTGAGTTCACGTTATTAATCAAATTTAACACTAGAAAGACTGAAACTTAGTATATACCTATATTGACCAAAAGCAGTCGAAATGACTGCATTGTGAAAAGAATAAAGAAATTTGTTTAAAATTAATTTTTAATATTCCTTATATTATTTAAAGTTATATAACAAGTTATAAATAAATATTAACAATAAAAAAAATTATATGTTGTACAAAAAGTCACAAAATTCTAAGAAATTGTGTCATTATATACATTATTGTTTTTCTAATTGAAATTAAAAAAAGCAGTCAAAATTACTTCCTTGGGCAATCTAGTGTTAAATAACTTTCCTTAAAAACTTTTGTATAAAAATATTTTTTCTAAAAATAATATAACACATTATGTATGAGTAAGCTGTTAAATGTAAATTGCTTTTGAAAATGTAATTAGAATTTCTTCTCTTCATGAAAATAAGTTGGATTTGTTTTATTTCTTAAAAAGAAAAAAGTGGATATTAAAATAATGATAAATAATAAGCAGTGATAAATGACATGAAAACAGGTGCATCTATAAAATGACTAGTTATTAATATTAAACATTCTTAATTATTTAAGTTTATAATAAACTGTATAGAAATGGGTGTGTCTCAGTCAAAAACCACGAAAATAATTCATTTCTACAATTCAATGAGTAGAAAATTGTATCAGTCTATAACATTTCAACAAAGCTCTGCAATGGATATGTCATTAACATGTGACTAGTTTTTTTTTCTATACAATTTAAAGCAGTTCCAAAAATACAGTCATGGTAATTATCAAAAAAAAAAGCAAGTTATCAAAAATTTGTTCAGAGCATTATAGAATATAATATAAAAAATTGTAAATGCTTTATATTTTGCAAAAATAGATAACATCAATATTCGCTTGGTCAAATAGTAAAACCATACCTGCCAACATTGGAGAAATAAAATAACTAGCACAACATTTGTAGGCTACGAGTTAAGTTTTGATACGTCATACATAATCATGTAAGTCAAAAAGAGAAATAATATAAGCACTTACATATAGCGAAGTAAAAAATATGTATATAAATCTTAATCTAAAGATTTTTTTAAACCATGATTTATAATTACTTAAACTATAAACACCCAATATGCTGGCAATTGCACCATCTGTTGAAGAATAAGAGAAGTATTTTTGCCATCGGCAGATATTTTATCGCCAAATTTTTTTAAAAAATTACTTCAACAAATACGGAGAAATTTGAGAATATACGAGTAAACAAGAAATAGTCATAAAATACAGGAGACTTGGCAGGTATGTAAAACTATCTCGGAAAAGTATCTATTTATATACATATCTCAAATTGCTTTCACATCTTAATAAATTTGTTATTTCAACATAGTCAAGCTTTTTAAAATAAGCAATGTAAAAAGCATCGAATAAAATTATCCTAGAGTAACGATATAATAAATTATTCTAATATTTGGCAAAGGAAGTCAATTGCTGTATATTAATAAATTTGCCAAGACCAACACTACTTTAAATAGCAATAAAATTCTATACAAAAATACAACTTTCATTATAAAAAAATAAAACATTCTCTAAACAGACTCTCTACTGTAAAAATTTCCTTCATTGCAGCATCAACTGGTTGATATTTTTTTGCAAAATAGTGTCTTTCACGGCGCTAAACACAACTTTTATATTTTCAGTGTCTATGGCAGTGGTGAAGTGATAATAAAAAGGTCTAGTTTTGTCGCGCCGAATGTTATCGAACATATCCACAAAAAACAACTGCACACCCTCGACGTCGAAAGGATCGCCTTCGAACTCTGGAAAATAAAGGCGAATGTCGACATCCTTTCGGGCAAGCTTTTCTTGCAGCAGGTCGGTTTTGTTCATGAATAAAATCACAGACACGTCGGAGAAACAGCGGTTGTTGATGATGGTGTCGAAAATGTTTTTGGACTCCAACATCCGGTTCGTAGTCCTGTCTTCCAGGAGAACTTGGTCGAATTCTGAAGAGGATACGAGAAAGATGATAGAAGTGACGTCTTCGAAGCATTGGACCCATTTCTGCCGCTGAGATCGCTGGCCTCCAACGTCCACAAAACGAAATGGAATGTTGTTGATCGTAACCAGATACTCAGCCACTGTTTTTGTTGCTGCCCTTGCATGCAGAATATCTAAATTAGATGGCACATAACCCTAAGAAACAGTCCATCGAATTAGTTTCATGTATATGATAACATATCAACAAAGAAATTACTTTCAAACAAGGTTGGTTTAAAATGGTTTAAGTGATCATTTCTAATCATCATTTCATAATTCCCATAAATCATGTAACAATTCCATTATTTTTATTATCATTTAACAACTTTATAACATTTAAATTATTAAAGAAAATTAATTTTGCATATAAAAAAATTCAGAGATGAGATTGGCCAAAAAAGCTGAATTTTCACGAGAGTAAATCATATGCGCGTGCAATCGTTTAATAATAAATTTTAGATAATTCAAGATAATAAATAACTATGTGTTGATAGATTTTTAATTGCATAATAATTTATTAATATATGAATAATTACATTGACGCTTAGTGAAATAACCTATTGAAAAAAAATAAAGCTAGAAATAAAATTTTTCTTCAGTTCACACAAAGGAGACAATTATTACTAGAGAATTCTGCTTAGTTTAGCACAACTGAAAACATACATAAACCTTCTATTTCTTTTAATAAATACTAATATATAGCAAAAATATATATATAAAAATTATAGCAAAAATATGAATAACATAATTTTTTAAATTATTTAGAAAAGAAAATACTGTTATAATTGGAATCATTATTTACATATTATAATCTAATCTAGCTACAGCTCTGTGAAGCATATCAATAATTGTGGAGTAGAACCATTTAATAACTCCGTAATATACAAAAATTACTATTTTAGTGCTTTAAATTTTCTGTTAATCTTTGAACATTGGAAATAAATATTATTGTTATTTCAAGGGCTGAATTTTCAGAAAAAGCAGAATATATATAATAAAAAGTTTAACTTTTAGAGTTTTAAATTTAAAAAAAAAGAAAAGGCTGAAATTTGAGAGACAAAAGCGAAAATCCGCTAGGAAGTGGAAAAATCTCATCACTGAAAATTGAATATTTTAATCGATAAATTTTTTTAAACTTTTATTTTTCCTGTGGGAAACTATAACTAATCTTTTAAAAAAAGTATAGAGGGAAAATTTTTTATGAAAAAGGTATATTTTTGTGCAAAAAACAAAATAAAGACACTTGTTTATAAATTTATTATTTTACATATAGCATTATTTATGCAAAATCGTAGTTTTACAATTTAAATGTTTTTTTTTCAAGGAATTTTGGGTTTTTAATTGGTATAAAAAATATTCTGTTGATTTTATTATTTGTCATTCTGATGATTTCATTATAAGTAAATTCCAAATAAAAAATTAGGTAGTTATAACAATGATAATGGAAGCTTTTACTTCATATCAAAATTCAAGGTTTAAGGTAATTCAGAACAAAGAAACTCATTTGCCCTGTCAAAAACCTCAACCCTACTTATTATAACTAAAAATGTTTAGGTATAGATCTTAATATCTAATCAAATTATTATAGAGATGTCTATTCTTTCATAAACTGATTACTGAAAATTTACATATTTTGTTTAAGAAACACCATAATAACAAGCACATATAGCGATGATTAAAATTATATATAAATTCAACATAAAAAAAGTCATTGTAATGGCATTAAAATTGGCTTTTTTAAATTTATTCGAGATAATCAATAAGAAAATAGCGCAGCATTTGCAAAAATTAGTGACACACACATTTTAAGGAATATATAAAATTTTTAAGATATTATAATGAATTTTTTTTTCCTTCTGGTTCTAAGCTTAAAGCTATGAGGCACATAATACTAGATTAGTATAGATTTAGAATAACTAAAACGTGATCAGACATTCTGCTATGAGTGATCTTTTTTCCTGCAAATCAATACAGCAAAAGATGGAAAATCTACTCGGCATATAGACTAAAATTCCAAATAATTTTTATTAAATCTAAAGCAACCCATAACTGATAAAATTGAATTAGGTTTAACCTTTTCGTGACGGGAAGTGCAAATGTGCGCTTATCGCTGAGGCCGGCAGTCTCTCTCGCGAGTGTCTGTTAAGGGCCGGAGGGTTTTTGCTGCTAAGCATAAATCCATGAAATAACCGAAATATCAAAGCATTATTTTATAATGTTCTGTAGAGTATTTAAATGACATATGCTTTTTATATATTTCTATAGATATTTCATTCACTTAAGTTATTTCTTGCTTAAATATATTATTTACGCATTTTATTTTCCTAATGTACTTACCATTTAATAACTTTTAACATTATAAATCTGAAAACCAAATATATGATTTAAAATTCCTTTTTCGTATGAAAAATTTGAAGACACTAACATTGCACTAAAAACCGGACCGCAAATTGAAATATCCAACACTGTAGCGAAAAAAACAACCTCCCCTGCTTACTGTAAACAAATACCACGTGCGGATTTAAAGAGCCGTCATAAAACATTTCTTTCTCCTCCATTCCTTCCCCCTAAAAACCATTGTAGGCGAGTCATACAACTCTCATTTTGGGTAGAAGGTCAAATCTACATATATCTGAAACCATATGGACATACAATGCCATCTTCTGGCAGAAATTTTATTTTTTAAAACGTTACAGGACACTGGCACAAATGAGTGAGGGTCAGGGGTGAACGAGAAAATGCTCTGGCACACCGGCGTGTCGGTCGTGAAGTGAGTGCGTTTCTTGCTGGCACGTATGTGTGACAGTCGGGGCGAAAGGGTTAAATGAAAATCTTAAAATTAATTGACCTTATTTCTTTTTTACTAAAATACACAAAAATAAAAAGAATTTTTTTAATAATTTAATTAAATTTGATTAATTATGATCGGAAAAAGACAATGTTTTAAATTTTTAACACTCAACAAAATATAATGTGAGTAAATAACATTAAATAATGCATAGTATTTAAATTACAGTGTTTTTTGGAATATAGTACAGAATACTTACAGGACTTGCAAGCCTACTTAAATTTTCAAAATAATATCGCACATTGTCAGCCTGGAAAAAATAAATTTAATTTATACCTATAAGACACATGAAATCAAAAATTTTGTTCACACAGTTTACAAAAATTTTAGTAGAAAACAAATATCTATACCCTAGACAATGTCTCAGTGCATAAAACTGAATTTATGTTTAAAAAATTTAAATTACATTTAAAAAAAATTAATATCTTACACATTACAGAAATTTGCAAAAAAAAAAAAAAATTATCTGCATGAAGCATATGCTGAACAAGGATTAAATAAAGTCACTCCATGTTTCCACGATTAGTTAGTAGAATAATTAATTAATGGTTTTTGCTCAAAAAAGCATAATAAAACTACATATGAATCACTTATAATTCAACAAATAACAATTCTTTGTTTTATTTTGTATCATTCAGTTAAATGTGAAAACAACATTTAACAAACTTATTAGCATTAATTATCTATTATGTAATACTGTTTTCCTTATATTGTAATAATCACCAATAGATAAACTTAATCTACTCTCTAAACATAAAAATAGTTTTAAAAATAGTATCAAAATGTGAATAGGTAAAAACTCCGTAAATAATGCTACATTTACCATCAGATTCTAAGTATCACATGACTGTAACATCACGAGAACCAATTCCATTGATTTTAATACTCAGAACATGCACTCGCAACTTCTTGCAATGGTTGGGTTTGGTGTTTCATAGATAATATTACATTACTGCTATTTATATTCATACTAATTTTAAAATGCTAATTGAATTTGACAAATAAAGAATTGAATTCAAGAAAATTTTCTTGCTAATTTTCCGGATGATCATTATCATGCATATGATTGACTAAATTAATTAAAACATAAAATAACTCAAAAGAGAAATTGATAATAAAAACACATTCAGTATAGTTTGCCTCATTAGAGTATTTTATAGAGAGAGAGCGAAAAAAGTCTGATGCACATACTACTAATTAAATTTAGTAAGCACGTACATTAACATGATTGACTAAATCCTTTTAATCATATGAACTAAATCAATGGACAAATTTCATTGGTGATATTTCCGTATTGTGGTCTCTCGCACCAACTACAATTGCCAAGGTTCCAAACATGAACATTTTTAAAAGAAAACATGTAGATGCTTGCCCGGGGGTGGCTATGAATTATACCTTTTGAGTTGATCCTTTTCTGTGATATTTTTATTAGTTTCTTGAGGGATGCTGCCCGGAAGTTGCCAAGACTGGGCGATTATTCTACCTCAGATCACAATATGAAAATTTCCTCATTATATTAAGCTTAAAAAAGATATTTAATATAGTTTGTCTCATTAGAATTTTTAATATTCTGTAATAAGGTCTAATTTTCATATCCGCAGGAGCCTACACTATAATAATCAACAAGTTTTGACGACTTTTGGTCTGAGGCTCACCAGAAACTAACAAAAACAAACCAACTTGAAGGGTATAACTCATAGCCATCCCCAAAAAACACCAATACATAAAATCCCTTTGGTGGTTTAGCTATTGCGCTTGATGCAAACTGACACTAATACGGAAATATTCCCTGTGAAAAATGTCTGTGCATAGTAGTGTTAAAATTTAGTAAACATGATGACTGCTGTGAATTTAATTGATTAAATTAGTTCGGGATACTTCCATATTTTGATCTGCTGTGCCAACTACAATCGCCGAAATTCCAAATCGAATTTAAACTTGCAATTTTAAATAAAAACAAAACATGTAGATGTTTGCCGGGGGGGGGGCTACTATATCTTTCAAGTAGGTCCCCTTCTTTGATGTTTTTTTATATTTCTCGCAGGCCACTGCTCAGAAGTTTCCAGGTCTTGGTGATTATTCTGGTACAGAAATCTTCCTGTGGGGAAGATTTTCATATCATGACCCTGATCCGTGCCAGAATAATCGCCAAGTCTTGGCAACTTCCGGGCAGTGGCCCACGTGAAACTAAAAAAACATCACAGAAAGGGACCGACTAGAAAGGTACAACTCGATGCTACCCCCAGCAAACATCTAAATGAATTTTTTTTTTTTTTTTTGTAAATTGCAAGTTTAAAATCTGTTTGGCAGCTTAGCGACTGTAGTTGGCGCAACAGATCAGGATACGGAAATATTACCCTTCCCGATAATACAATGATCTGAAAAAAACTAATGGTGAAAGTTTAATGAAAAGATGTTTTTCCTGCTGTGACAAACGTCTGGTGCTGTTAAATTAAATAAAATAGGCAAATAAAGTCTCACAAGTTGAAACTCTCTTCTCCTATTGTAAGCAGTCTTAATAGCTTGATCTTTCCACAACTCTTGCACGGAAAATGCGAAATCTTGGAAAGTCCTCAGGTCCAGAGAAAGATTTGCATCGTAAAGTAGCACGTGATTGGCATATTTCGAACTCTCTGTATTATCCCACCTTATGCCAAGCTTGGCACGAGCATCCACCAGAACCTTCATACCTTTAATTGTATTTTGATATATTGTCGATTTATATAACATAACTGATTCGCTATCGAAATGATCCCCGTGAATTATTTTCATTTGTTTCAAAAATGTACTCTTGCCACTCTCGCCAGCGCCCAGTAATAACAATTTAACTTGTCTTTTTATGATAGCTTTGTCTTTTTTCAACATTATATCGATTTTTTTACTTCGGCGTTTTTGAACTGACTCATCGGGAGAATATTTAAAATTAACACAGCAGGAGCAAATACCAAACAAATCCGCCATGGCGTTTTGTTTTGATTATTGTTATGATTCCGCACGCCCACCCAGTCTCCTGTCTGGTGATGCAAATTTCGATTTGATCATACCTCTGATTGGCCAAAATAGAAAAGAGTCTTCCTTAACGTAATAGTTTTATAATCTATCCATGCCATTATTTTTGCTTATAGCTTACAACGCTTATTTGAAGGTTAAGGCTTACTGCTGACTCAGGATGATAAACCTTATAATTAGATGGCGCTTTAGTAGAGATAGTAGTGTACATTGCAAGTGAAAAAAAATCGCGTATGTATTTTCAGTTTCAATTGTTCTTCTTATCAAGCAAAACGTTTTCAGGCAGGGTTTTCTTAAATAATTTTTTAGTTGATTTTACAGCATATAATGTTAACATTATATAATACCACATGTTTAAAGATTCGAAATAAACACTATGGAATTTTATAAAAGGAAAACGCTTTAATTGCGATATTTACAATAATTTTGGAAGCCTAATTACAAATTTGAGTCCCGCAGTGGACTGATCGTTAAGACACGGTTCTCATCAGATCACCGAAGTCAAGCATCACTGGCTGCGGTCAGTGTGCGGGTGGGTGACCCACTTGGATCAGTCTGCGTAGGGACCGAGGGTGTGCGGTATTGGTCCTCGTTAAACTGTGCTACCGTAAAGTGCTCGACTTCGCGCGCAGGTCGTCGGGCTACCGAAGCGGGGGTGCCATCCCCTCCGCAGAGGATCAAAATTGTGATGGCATGTCTTCGGATCATCCTCCGGGATGTTTCCCAGACCGTCGCCAATAGCCCATTGTGCAGCTCTAGTGCGACGTAAATTAACAACAACAACAAATTCGAATAACAGCATATCTAAATCAAAATACACAACTATGATTGAGTTGAGTTGTAGGCTGCTGATACTTCAACAACCTCCCACCTTGCAATTCAGGTGATTGCAACATTTTATAAGTTTAGTCTATTGGGAATTTTATCACGTCGACCAATTCTAGTGACGAAATCTGTTACTAATTTGGTGGTACAGTTTCATTCACTTCACTGCTTCTGGTACATTTTTCTTTTTCTTCTTCTTACGCTTCTTTTTCTTTTCTTCAGTTGGCTGTTCTCCATTTCCTTGTGGAGTATTGACTTCAACTTTATCGGTTAAAACAGTATTTTTTAATTTTTTCTCAATTTCCACTATCTGATTATTTAATTTGCTAGTAAGGTTAGTCAATTCGCTCTGCAATGTAGACAGTTCTTGCAAATCACCATGATCTTTAAATCTTTCAAGTTTTGCAACTAGATCTTGGGCTGCCTTAACCATTTCAGTAGAACTTTCTTCAGATTTTACCTCTTCTTCTATAATTGAGCTTTCAACTTTGGCTTCCTTAGTAACAGCTGGTTGAGCTTTGGCAGCCTTGGATTTCTGTCTCTTTTTCTTAGACGCAACAGACGCACTTGGAGAAACTGAATTCGTATTGCAATAGGAAGCCTGGTTCCGGTGCAAAGAATTTGAGCAGTTTCTTTGTTTACCTTGGAGTGTCCATCCGAATTTTGTTTTAATAGCTACCAAATTTTTGTCAATTGGCTCAATTTTTCCTGTCAATAATGCGCCAATGTAAGCTTATTTCCGGTACATCTTCCCCCGTATCACTTAAATTAATATCTTTCCTTTTCAAAATAGGATATACATTAGAATTTTGTACGCGGGGAATATAACCGCAAATTTTTTCTTTATCCAAAACGGAAATGTTTTCCTTGAAATCTGAACATAAACTTTGCAATGTAATGTTATACACTTGGTGTGATTCTTGTTTAGTTTCACTTCCCCCGAAAAGTCCATGACTCAATACTTCTTGATCTACTGGTTTTAATCCTAATTTATTCGCAATATCTCTTCTTATAAAAGATCTCTGTGCTCCAGTATCTAACAATCCACGTACAATTCCAGACCTCTCATTATTAACAATTTTCACTAATACAGTTAACAATAAGGTTGAGGAATTCTTCGGAGATAAGAGAACTTTTGCTTCTGATTCTGGAGGCTTATCTCGCTCTTCTTGTCGTATTTCGGAACACATAAGATTATGATGTCTTTTCTTGCAAAAAAGGCATTTGATATAAGTTTTACAAAACTTTGATTGGTGACCTGGTCTAAAACAGAGGAAACACACATGTTTCTTCTTTAAAGCTTCCTTCCTCTCCTCTAGCGACATGTCGATAACCTTAAAGCATTCCATTGAACTATGAGAAGATTTATTACAAAATAAACATTGCATGACATTTTTATCAAGTCATTTCTTTTCACTTGCTACAATGCAAGATGCAGTAGGAATTTTGTCTCTCATGGCGAACATAGGTAATTCTTGATTTCTTCCAAAACCTGATCGTGCAAGTTGTAGCCTCTCTTCACTTTCAACTTCCGATCGAAGAAATCCTAACAAGCTGCTTAAAATATTCGCATCATCCTTATCGTCAACTTTACTACGCGTTCGTTCCCACTCCTTGATGAGATCTTCCGGCAAAGCAGACTCAACTAATGGATATAACACAGCTTCGTATTTTTCAGACGTTACTCCTAAAGTCTCCAAAGCTCGTAGTTGAGTTTATAATTTATCATAAAGAACACGCAATGCAAAATTTTCACCACTTTTTGCTTGGGTTAAAACAAGATTCAACAGTTCCCGAACATAAATTTGGATTAATAATTCATCTTTGGCGAAACGAGATTTTAATTGCTCAACCGCTTTATAATAATTGGTACCAGATGGCGGAAAACTTTCGACTAAATCTCTCGCCGAAGTGCCGATTTCTGTTGCTTGCAGAAGATATTGGAACTTATTGTCTGAATCAATGCTATTATCTTCATGAATTTTGTTGAATTGTCCCCAGAATCCAAGCCAATTTTTAATATTGCCGTCGAAACGTTTCAATTCTAATTTGGGGAGACGAAAATTTCGTTTTGTTTCATTTAACGAGTCAAGAATTTCCTCGTTTTTTTCAATTCTCGCCAAATTCAAATCTACTTTTGCTTTCATGGAAACGCATTTATCGCGGTAATCTTCTGTTAAATCTGTTTCGCTAGCAAATTCGGTTTCATCAAAATTTTCTATTTCTAGCCAAATTACTTCTATTTTTTCGTCTATTATAAATAACCTTTCAGCTTCATCTTGTAAAGTATTGAAAACAGACATCAAATCATCTTTAGTTACCTTTTCCGTCTTCAAGAAGACTTCCATTTCGTTCAAAGATCTTGTAAATAATCGCCGAAGTTGCGCTCGCTTACGTTTCTAATTTTCCATAGTCCTTGTCGCGGACGCCACTTGTTTAAAGATTCGAAATAAACACTATGGAATTTTATAAAAGGAAAACGCTTTAATTGCGATATTTTTTCAATAATTTTGGAAGCCTAATTACAAATTCGAATAACAGCATATCTAAATCAAAATACACAACTATGATTGAGTTGAGTTGTAGGCTGCTGATACTTCAACACTACATGTTAAAGGAAGAGTTTGTGTATGTCTCCTTCAAGTTGCGATCTACGCTAAAATCCTGAAACTTGAACAGCAGGTGCGTCGGGAACTTTTAGCCCCAAATTCTAAAATTTATTTTAAAGTTTTAATGTACTTGCTCCGTGGGAAAATGAGAAAAACTAGTTTTTGTTATAGGATTGGCATTACGCAATATTACAATTTGAATTGCAAGCACTTTGTCTTCTCAATTATTTAAAAGATAACATTATAAATTTATCCCAACTCTTAGCTCTATTTATTTGTGGCGTAACTACCACTACAAATATTAAATACCAAATCAATAGTATATAAGACATGTTAACTCGATTCTATCAAAAGGTACCTTAAGATAGAATCGAGTTAACATGTCTTATATACTATTGATTTGGTATTTAATATTTGTAGTGGTAGTTACGCCACATTACTCCCCTTCCAGAATTTTATCTGTGATAGAATTCGATGAACAATTACCACTAGTTGATTAATGCTGTTTATTTATTAACTTCAATTCATGCTCATTATATTTTTATTTTTTATTTTCTTCCAAGCATTTTGCTCGTTATTTTTTTTATAGCTTTTCGCTATTTTTTTTTCCCATCATTTTTTTATAGCTTTTCGCTATTATTATTTTTTTTCTAGCATTTCGCTTATTATTATTTATTAACCGGGAGACTTTATTACACTTCACCGGATTTCTTTCTTTTTTTTTCTTTGAGCAGTATATATATTTTTTTAAGCAAATCAACTGTTTAATGTGGATTCATCCATCAATATTGACAATTTCTTATCACGTCCGTAGGTCACCAATTGTACGCAACAGAGTTACAGGATAAAAATGATCAGCAGACATTTTTTAGAACACTCATTTTTTATTATTATTTTTTGATCTGTTGCCATTCGCAACTCTCATAAAAGTAATATGAATAGTCATATGACATATGATGTTCCTACAATACTCCC